TTTGGGTGCAGCCGGGCTGGTCGCGAGCGGTCTCTTTGTGCTTCTGCCGCGCCTTGCCTCAGCTGAGGCTTCAGAGACCTGCATAAAGAAGTCATTGCAGGATCCACCCAACTCGGTGCAGAGTCGTTAACAGCACCCAGCCGGAATTGTCTACACGATGCTCATCAAAGAGAGGAATGCCGAACAGAGAAGCGTGACCCCTCCGCATGGTGCAAGGTTCCCAACATTTAGCCAGCACGGCTGAGTCTCTAGCTCTATGGGGCCATCATCCGTCCACAGCATCCTCAGGCGGGACGAGTGCCTGGGCTGCTGCAGATGGTATTGTAATATTTAGCACAGTAGTGGACGGTACAGTCTAGCATAGTGAAGTGTTGCCTAGTACAGCATAGGATAGCATAGCATAGCGTGGTACACGCCGTAGTTCAGTATGGTCTAGTCTGGTATGGCCTAATACAGTAGAATACAGAATACTAAGCATAGTATAGTAGAGTAAAAGTATAGTTTTCGAGTACAGGGTATCGCACAGTATGGTATAGGGTGTATTGCGGTATAGTGTAGGAAAGAATGTATCGTACATTTTGGTCTAGTGAACAGTTTGATAGTGTAGTGATGTACAGAATAATGCTGTATGGTATAGTAGTACAATATAGTGAAGTATAGTTTTGCATGCAGAAGGCACTATGGTCGATTGTAGTCTAGTGTAGTGTAGGATAGTCAGGACAGCGAAAGAGTGAAAGATAGCAGAGTGAAGTCGAGCATGGTATAATATGGTATGGGTCAGCGTAGCGCATCGTAGCGTAGCGCATCGTAGTGCATTGTAGTGTATGTTCCAGTAAACCTGGTTTCAGTATCACTGTAGTGTATGGCATACTGTACGTGGCAACTAGCATATTTAGCGTGAGGTACATTGTGGAATGCATCGCATTCAGTATACAGTGTATAGTATGTATAGGTAAAAAGTGCGTGGTACGTTGTATACAGCATAGTATAATGCACTTATAGTGTAGCGTATTGAAGTATAATTTAGTCCAGTCTCGTAGTGGTAACCGAAAAGGCATAGTAGCAGGTGAGCCCAAGTATGGTAACCGAGCAGAGTATGAGTTTAGCAAGCCTGGTTGGGAAACCGTATTGTAACATTACAATTTCATTGTAATGTATACGCCAATGCAGCTGCAAGAACAAACCGCCGCCCAGAACCATTTGAGAGTTGAGAATCGAAGGTCGCGTGCGGGCAGTTCTTCGTCGTCATGAAACGCGCAAATGGGCACACTTGCCAAAGAAGCAACCTGTGCCCCAGTATGCACGTCTCAGCTTTGTGACAGGCAGCTTGCTGCTTGGTTCTTGCTGAGTCCGTATTGCCTCGGAAGTTTTTGCATGTCATGTAAGCATGCTGTGAGACGCTTGGCCGCGACTGTACACTGCCAGGCCATGCGCTGTACTTTGTACGCTCGATGCATGCGTGAAAACCCTGAAAATCCTGTGTTGCTGAAGACTTCTCATGGGTTCAGTCGCTCAGGGCATGGCTGCTCCAGGTTGAGGAGAGCACGGACCTGCCTAAACCGATCTGGGTTCCCGAAAATAGGGGACCCTAATTTAGTACCCTAAGTAGTAAGGACCCCAAAATAAGGTACCCTTAATAATCGGAAAGCCCCATCTTGAGGCTCAGTGCTCAGGATGCCACGAGCCAGGCGCCATGGCGACAAAGCTCCCGCGAACGCAGGTAGCTTTCGCTTGTTTGATCGATGCGACGCACTTTTACACCGTCTGCTCGCTCTTCAGTGACGCGTCTGCCATTTGAGACCAAGTCTTCAGATCTGAAGGTGATTCTGAGACTGGCAAGTCTCTCCTGAAAGCGTATTCCGTGCATCCCGTGCGTTCTGTATGGTGCTTAGCATCCTGGTGCAGCTACCGTGGCCAGTTGCTAATTGAGGCTTCTGTTTAGGGGCTTTCTGTCAGAGGTCCTTTTGGTTCCTTATTTGGGCTTTCTGGCTTGAAGCCGCTCCCAAGCCGAGGTAGGCCTACTTCCGCCGTAGCTTTGCTGTCCCCAACTTCTCAAACAAGGGCTTGTGGTCACTCTTCCTAACTTCGCACTGCTGAGGTTATGCTGGTATCCTATGTGCCGACCTTGGGTGGGTCCCTGACCGAAATGAAGCTGGGTATTTGGCAGGATGGCTGCAATCTTCAAACATCTTCGGGCGCATGTTGACATCTTCAATATGGGGTTACGTTGCTGCACGTCACGGCTTCGACGTCGTCTTGGTCGTTACCTTGTTGTCCCTCCTGGTGGGTGGTCTGCTGCAACTTGCTTTCAATCATGGAATCTGTAGCATTTTGTGCAAGCCCTGGGTCCAGCTCATCGTTGTTACAGCCGTGCTCCGGGCACACGAATACCTGATCCAGGGATTATAGTAGCTATGGAGTAGCACGGTGCGACTCCAATGCTGGACGAATCGCGTACCCAAAGCCTAAACCTCAAACCCGAAATCCCAACTATCCGAAACCCCTAGAAGTTGAAGCCGTAAACCGTCTTAAACCCTAAAGCCTCAAGGTTCGGGTTTTGCAGATCGCTTGTACTTGCCATGCTGGTCCGCTTCATGTTCTTTGGTCTCACACACGGCTGGGTGGCCATCATGGGCCCATACTGCGCGAGTGTCGCCGGGGACAAACGCCAACAGGATGTGATCGGCATCGTCATCGCGGTGGGGACAGGGGTGCAGCTGGTGGGGCCTGCCGTCTCCGGGTGGACCTATGCCCTGGTTCCAAGTTTCCCAGCGCTGGTTCCAAGTTTACTCGGGGCGCTCCTGGCCTTGGTGTCTATCTCCCTCTACTCTCTGCTACACTGCAGGGCTAAGGGGGCCTGGGGCAGGTCAGAGATATCGCAGAATGAAGGGAGAGCAGCCGCCAGGGAGGAAACCACAGCTTCGAAGCGTTCCATGCGACGCACCGTACAAAGGTGGCCCATCCCGCTTGTCATCTTCATGCGCTTTTGCCAGGGATTTGCCCAATTCGCCATCTTCGAGGTTGCTCCGCTGTGGATGATTTCGGACAAGGCAGTGGGAGGCTTGCAGATGTCCCAAAAAGAGGTGGGCGTGTTGCTTGCAAGATCTGGCCTTTGGAACATCTTCTACTTCTCCTGTGTCTTGCCCAGATTGACGACAAGGCTTGGTGGACGATGCACTTCCATCATCGTGAGTGTTTTCGGCATCATATTTTCCGCGTTGTTGCCGTTCTGCACCACCGAGCTGACAGCCAACGTGGCGCACTTACTTGCGACATCCGCCTGCTTATCGCAAGCAGCGATGATGCTTGTCTTCACAAACAATGCTGCTGGTCCAGCAGATCGTGCCATTGTGAGCGGCCTGGCCGTGACGATAGACACAACTGGTAAGGCAATTGCCCCGATTGCAACGTCCACGCTCTTCGCCTGGTCAATTAATGCATGGGGCTTGGCAGGTCATGGACTCGTCTTCTACATTCTGGTGCCTCATCTCTGCTTGGTAGATTTTGCGGCAGGGCAGGGGTGCGGAGACAGTACTGGAGACAGTGTTGTGCAGTCTCAGCAGCGTTAGCATCGTCGTTGCTGTTGTCGTTGTTGTTATGGTGGTAGTCGCTCGTGCTGTTACCAAGGCCGGGCTCTCCTTGGTGATCCTCCTTTGCACGGCGCTGCTGCCGGCTTCTGTAGAAAACGAGCCGACGGTGCTTGGGGGAGGTGCTGGCGCCGAGTCCAGTGAAGGGACCATCTACGGCGCCTCTGAGTCCAATGAGAGCTCAGAGAGCGCCGACTCCGACGCCAGATGCTGAGTCCGAGGCTCGGACGCGCCGTCGGAGCTTTGGAAGAGACGTTCCATCTTGCTGCTCCCTTCACCAGATCGGGGGAGGAGCTTCTGACTACTAGTTGCATATACATATATTGTCCTTTTTCCCTGTCTCCTGAGAGCTTCGCTGCTTGTTCGGAGCTCTGTGGAGTCGGAGATCCGGAGACTCTTTGGTCTCATGATTTTGGGGTCCTTTTGATGGGGATCCGACTATCTAGGGTACTATACTAGGGTCCCCTATTTTCGGAAACCCCTATGTCTCACAGACTAGGCGAGATGGCTCGTTGTGATCGCAAGTCCACAAACCTGTCCACGAATCTCAACTACAAGTCTTAAGAGCAGATGCGAGAGATGTAGTGTAGCTCTGCGTGTGAAGGGAAGGTGTACGACAACCGTCATGCCGTGAGGGCCCCAGGATTTGGGAGCAAGGCAGGGCCATGAGTCAAACTACCCATGGGCCCCATAGTAGTTCCTTTTGGGGATTCTAAATATGAACTCAAAAAAGAACTACTATGGGGCCTATGGGTAGACATGCCCAAGCTGCACAAAAACTCAGCTCCATCATGCCAGACGTCAAGGGCAGAGCAGCTAGGAACATGGATGTGATGGCTGTGCTGTGCTGTGTTTCTACTTGTAGCTCGTAGCATAACAGAAGACACCGATCTTCTCGACTACGCAAACCCGGGTTAGCGGCGGAGGGGTGTGCGTGTGTGTGCGTGTGTGTGTGTGTGTGTGTGTGCGTGTGTTGGATGTACAGGTTGTACAGTATTCCTCACTATCACCATCACTGTCATCCTCGTCCTCCCCGACGGCCATCGTCATATATCGTCATAGTAATCAGGACTGCTCACTGTGCAATTATCCTGGCGATCACCATCATGATTGTCGCCATCGCCGCCGCACAGCACCAGCATCAGCACCCAGGGCCCAATGCTGTCGCCGTCACCATCACCATCAACATCGATTGCCATCGCCATCGCCATCACCATCATCACCATGACCAACACCATAACATTCATCTTCATCCTCGTCATCGTCATCATCACCACCACAACGGTCAACATCAGCATAGTCACCATCAACATCGCCATAATCGTCATCATCGTCACCATCTGCATCGTCATCGTCATCATCATCATCATAATAATAATCATCACCATCATCATATCATGATTATTTTCATTATTCATTTTCATGTTCATCTTCATCAACATCTTCATCGTGATACATTTCCCCGAGAACTGGAGGACCGCTGACCTCAAGGAATAGATCAGCAAACCCTGCGTAGTGCGTCAAAAATCGTGGGGGCACAGATCGAACATCAATGCCCAAACAAAGGAACAAGCATCTGCGGGTCACTAAACGCTAACCTCAGGGAGCACAAGCTCCACACATAGCTCAGCCAACCCCGCCGCGCAAACTTCGAGATGCGCGAAGCTAAAGACCAACCGTCAAGCCCGCCGAAACTAGCGGAACCCGCGCTTTCGAAACTGTACCCAATCGTGCAGAGGTACACGCAGTGCAAGCTAGGCCATACTGCATAGCAAAGCCCCGCGAGTCTATACAAAAGAAAAGTTGGCAAACAGCGTGCAACATGCAAGCCAGCACCGCAGGCAAGGCCCTGAAGCACAGGCAGCAAAACGCAAAGCCGATCCTAACACCACCCTAAAGCGACGGTGAATTGCATGCGCACTTAGCGCACCGAGCCCGAGGTCACTCAGACCTGCCGTGAGCGGCAGTCGCTCTACTATGAATGGCGATCATGCAGGAGCAAATGCCCGGCCACACAGCAGGAACCTTCGACGAAAGTGGCTTCACAGGAATGGCGCACACAGACGATGCACTCGGCAGCTGAATGATCGAAGAACACAACCGTCTGAGACATCACCCAAGCATTCACGCCGAATCTCCGTCCGGCAAGGACACTGCCAATAACGGTGAAGCTCATCTTCAACTACCCCCATCTCGCAATGACTGCAAATGGGGCACACAAGTCCCTTATTGCCGTGATGCTCCCGGTCAGCCGTCATCGCTGCACCCTGCACATCAGAAAGCGCCGGTCCGCAGCCTGTCCCGATCAACCCCGCCTCAACCTCTCATGTCACGCCGCCTCATCAACATCTTCATCGTGGAACGTTTCTCAGAGAAATGGAGGATCGCTGACCTTCATCAGCCGCATCATCGGCATCATCAGCTTCATCTTCATCGACATCTTCATCTTCATGATTCATCAGCATCATCATCGTCGTCAGCCTTCCTACAAGGGCTCTTGCTGATAGGGTGTAATTCACCCGACCTGCTTGCACCATGAGTTTTGGGCCTCTGAGTGTTCAACTTCAGCTTCGAAGGATTTAAGCTGCTCTGAGGCATTGATTTAGGGGTTAGGGGTTTAGGGTTCGTGGTTTAGGGTTTAGGGGTTTAGGGTAATGAAGTCATGCTCCGGTCTGTGTGGAGGCACAGCGAGGTTCTTCATTCTGCCTGATTGCTGCCGCTTTCGGATACAGCCTGCCCACGTAGATGCAGGTGCGTTTTCAGTCCGATTCCGTATCGCAGGGATTGTGGTCCCTGGTTCCCAACGGCCGCATGGGCTGGGTTGTCACCTTATTTGGAGTCCTGGCGGTGCTGTCCGTCTTTCCCAGCCACACCGGCGCAATCGTGCACGCGCAGAAGGATGCCCACGAAGGGGGATCTGGGAAGCTGCGGACGGGAATCGATTGGGAAAAGGAGAACAAGCTCCCGCCCTGGATGAGCTCCATCACGGAGGGTGCCAGCCAAGCCATCGCCGTGGTGCTGGGCCAGTCCTTGAAACCCGATGGCTCAGCTCCCCAAGTCTTGCTGGACCGAGCTGCGATGGCTCGGAAGCTGCTCCAAGAAGGGGCTGTCATGAAGGTGGTGGTGTCTGGTGGAGATCCCGCGAACGTGGGCCATACCGAGGCCTCGATGTTTGCGAAGGTCCTGGTAAGAGAAGGCATTCCGGAGGAAGCTCTAATTATTGAGTCGCAGGCCACGACCACGGCCGAGAATGCTTGGTTTCTGTTGCGCTGGATCCCCAAGGGGACTGGCCGATTGTTTATCATCACGTCGGACTTCCACATGCCACGGGCCACTTACATATTCAAGTCAGTTCTCAACCATTTCTACATGATGCTGGAGGAGAGGTACAAGAAAGACCCGAGGTGGTGCCCCGGCGAGAGTTGGGTTTCTTTGTGCCAAACCTTCCGGCGGTTGAGAGCAGAGCCAGCCCCGAAGCCCTAGACCCTACAAGCTTCGGAAGTTTGCACCGGAAGTTTCCCTAGCAAGACCCAGGCCCCGACCTCGCAACATAGGCCCAGGTCCACTCTCGTCCTTTTTGTCCTTGAGCTCTCAGCATGGGGTTAGGGTGAATTAGATCATCCTGCATTCACTGTCCCTTATTGAGCCCCCAAAGACCAAAGATTTGAGAAGCTCGATAAGCCCTAAAATCATAAGCCCTAAGCCCTAAACCCTATAAGCCCTAAACCCCAAACCCGAATCGCCCAGGACGAGCACGTCCAAAAGGTATCCCCGGCTCGAGCTTCTGCAGGCGTGGCTCAGACTCCCTCTCTTTCTCGCTCTCTCCCTCTCTCTCTCTCTCTCTCGCCGGTCTCCCTTGAGAGGCTGCGTTGGGTGGGGGAGATTGCCCGAAATTCTTGCTTCTGGATTCTGAGGAGTGGCCATGATGGTTCGGGCCACTTGCTACAGTTCGAGACTTGATTATGTGCCCCCTAAAATGTGCCTGGACGCTTGCTCACGTCAAGCAGCCCTTCTCGTTCACTGTCTTGCCTGTTGTCGTAAGAACATGTGATGATCAACCTGAGGGTACTTGGAGGTTCATGGGCAGTTATAAGCGGGGTTATAAGTCCCCTAATATGTTGTTTTAAGTTTTGTTACCCTACTTAAAACCTTATTTGTCACAATAAATGAACCTCCAAGTAGCATGGCATATTCCCAGGCGGCTCCTTTGAGAGCGGCCTTAGGCTCTAAATTCTCACCGCGCATGCAGGCGCCAACCGCGAGCTTCTGCGGCGCTGACGCGAACCGGCGCTTCGGCTTGGTGGAGGGTTTAGGGTTTACTACCAGGCGTGCTTGCTGGCATGCCTGCAGCAAAAGGGTTCAGGGGACTTGAACCGTGGTGAATGAAGGTCCCGAAGGTTTCGAGCTAGAATGCCAGAGGGAGATTCGTGGTCAAGCTTTGAGGCCTAAACCCAAACTCAAAATCCTTAAGCTCCACCCCTGAGCCCTAGACGCCCGAAGGTTCCACCAGGACATTATGGCTTGATTTCTGAACTGGCTTCCCACCTTTTTGGGCTGTGCAGCTTGTTGAGAGGACGAACACAAAGCTGACCTGAGTTTTGGAAGATGCTCAAGCTGTTGCCTTCGGTTTTGGGGTTCGGGTTTATGGTTCTGTAGAGTTCTATGAGTGAATCCTAGGGTACCATAACGATACCACAGAAATTTAGGCTCCTGTCCGGGACAGCTGCGACTTTGCGAGCTGCGCAGCAGGCGGTTTTGGTGCGCCATGATTAGGTCTCAGGACAGCTCGAAAACAGTGGGCAAGCAGCCATCAGAGGTAGGACTTCAGGAGTTACCTACAGTCTCCATTGTAGTTCCTTCTTTTTTGGTTTAACCAAATACATAATAAGGATTTTGTAAGGTATCCCCCAAAAAGGAACTACAATGGAGACTATAGGTAGGGTACGGGTTCAGTTGAGTTTAGGGCTTTAGGGTCTTTAGGCGTCCAGTGTTGAGGGTTTCGGGGTTTCGGATTCCGGGTGCCATGTTCTGAAGAGAAGCTAAGGAGCCGCGACCACGACACGGGAGCCGATGCTCGGGCACGCTTACTTTCGTAGAGTCCTTGAGCCCTCAGGCTTCAGGGTTTAGGGTCTATAGGGCCTAGGGCTAGGGGCTTGGGGCCGAGGGCTCTGAGGGTTTAGGGTTTGGGGTTTAAGGCGGTTGAGGGCCTCACAGCAAAAACAAAGGGGTTTGGACCCATGAGCCTTGAAATCTGAAGACCCCAAAACCCCTAAAGGCAAGAAGCCCCAAAGGGCACGGAGCGTGCGTGGTTAGTTCCAGGGGCTTGGATCGGGGGGGTTTAGGGTTGAGGGTTCTGCACAGGCATTTATGAGATCTGGCGTCGCGCAGGCAGGATTTTCTTGAGCTCTGCTGGTTCCGGCTGGTGGAGTCTTAGGGGCGACTCGCAAGAAGCACGGGAGCTGTAACCAGGTTGTACCCACCAGACATGTAGCAAACACAGCAAGCATGGAACGCAGTGCAGTAGAAGTACTGTAGTTCTGCTGTGTCTTTCTGGGTGTTGCCTTCAAACTATAGTTTATGAGTCTTTCAGGTTGTTGTGCAGCTCATATAGATTTCAATCCAAAGGGGCCCTAGCAGACAGTTCTCTCGGGTTTAGGGGTTTAGGGTTTAGGGTCAGAGTCTGGGTTCAAGAAAAGGGTGTAGTGTAACAGCTCAGCCGTCTGCCCGAGGACATCAACGACTTCTCGCTGGCGAAGCGTGCGCGTGACGAGTTGCGATTCCTGGGCTCCGGGGAGGTGGTGAACGCGCTTTATGGGGAGCCCGTGAGCAACATCTTGCCGCTGGTCCTGGTCCGAGGGTCTCTTAGGCTTTGATTTCTGTCGGGTTGAGGGTTTGGTGGAGGTAAGTTTCTTCAAAAAACTCTTTCTGACGAAGAGAGTCTGGTGAGTGGCATGGCATGGACATCTCAGGTATATTTGGCCGATTCAGATCAATGTGACCGAGGACTCCGAATTTTGCCCAGCTTCCGTCGGCATTTTGGTGTTTGGCTGTAAGGAAGATGCCCCAGAGCTGCTGATATGCAGCTCATAGGGGCTTCACGGTGTGAGGTCGTCAAATCCTACACTGGCCTTGGCCCTTCAAAAGAAGATTGCGACAATTCCAAGTCCGGTTCTGATTGTCGGATTCTCCGGTCTACTTAGGCCCTACACCCTCGAATGCCAACCCTGAAAACTCTGCTCTAAAACCTTTAAATCCCTGTTGCCTATGCGAAGTGACCGAAGGATCCCGACTATCACCGAACTTTCCCGGCGGCCCTGGCGGAAGCCGAGAATACTGCGGAGGGCCTGTGTAAGTGCGTCTCTCCGCCTGATGCAGGCGGCACGTGTTATGGTCTAGGTATTCTTGGGCGTTAACGGGAGGGGCTTTTGTTTAGATTATGACGACGATTCCTAAGATATTACATTTACATCTCCTTCTACCTTGGTGGTTATTGCTAGTACTGCCACTGAATGATAGTACTAATTTGACTTGAGCTGTGACCGTTGCTGACAGTTTACTGAATCGGTACAATGTTAGATCTTACTACTAATTTGATAGTTGCCACTACAATTGCATTGATACTCTTACTATTCCTGCTGCTGCTGCTACTATTACTTCTTCTAACTACCCTGATATCCCCTGGTCCCCTCCCCTTCTGTGAACACCCTTGAGACCTTCACACCGACTGTCGTACATGGATCCTCGTCTGGCTTGTCCGAGTTGTGAGAGTGTAAACCCGAAATCCTTAAACCCGAAAGGTGGGGCGGCGCTCCCGTATCCGCTTCAACTGCCTGTTTCGCCCGAACGCAAGGGACCGTCCGAATGGCAGGACATTTGCCCGGAGAAGCTAATATAACAAGAACAGACAAAACGGGAGTAGGGTTTAGGGCATAGTTCCCAACTTATGATAAATAAAATTAAATTTCAATTATTTTGTGGTTTGGTGATATATATTCTAAATAATCTGGTGGAGAAAATCAGGTTCAAACTAGTTTTTGAAAAGAAGAGAAATCAAATTAATATATTTTATTTGATGATTTTGGCTTAATAAAAATATCATTAAGATCTATATCTATATAAATCTATATATAATTAGTAGATATATTTTACGAATTCAATCTAGTAAATTATATATATAATTATTCACTATTGATTTCTTGAAATTTGAAGTCTTTTGATTTCGATTATTAAATAAATAGCGTACCGCTTGCATCTATGATTTATATCTATAATTCTTCGTAGAATCTTGGTCTCTTATAATTTGGTTTTCTGATATATTCTTATTTAGAAGTCTCTTCTATGAATATCTGGCAATATTAAAATCTTAGAAATTTTGAGATTTTCACATCTTTAGCTCTCGATATTAAAATTGCAGAAATTTTTATATTATTAGGAAATCTCTTAATAATAAAAAATTTCTAGTTTCTATTAGTTTGAGGGAGATATATTCGCGGTAATAACATATAAAGGATTTTGGGTAGGCATGCTCGCGATATTTCTAGGACTGTAATGCCGTAAGAGTAGTGCCGTACTTTCTGAGCATCTCTCTATGAGCCTTTCTGTACACCTATTTACGGGCTCTTTATGAGCCTTTCTGTGCACCTGTCTACGGGCTTGTTTGTGGGTCTATTTGCACGTCTGTCTGTGCGTCTCTCTGTATGTCTATCTGGGAAATTATTTCTGAGTTTATCTAGATGTCTGTCGGTGCGTGTATCGATCTATCGCTCTATCTTTTTTTCTCTCTATTCCCTCTATCTTTCTATTCCCTCTATTCCTCTATTTTTCTATCCTTCTCTCTTTCTGCCCATCTAGCCCTCTATCTTGCCCATCTATCTATCTATTTCTCTATTTCTCTATCTCTCTGCCTCTCTTCCTCTCTCTCTCTCTCTATCTCTCTATCTATTTATTTTTCTAGCTCTCTATCTTGATCTCTATCTCTCTCTCTTTCTTTCTCTATCTCTCTATCTCTCTCTTTCTCTCTTTTTATCTAATCGCCTCTCTCTCTTTAACTCTCTCTATCTCTCTTTCTCTCTCTCTCTTTGACTCTATATTTTATCTATATTTTATTATATCTATCTCTTTCATTATTTCTTTATATGACTATTATAATAATCAATATATCTAATCAAAATATTGGATTTTTTCCCGGGATTATATTCCCTTTAAAGCTACTAAATAAATTGAAATTCTAATATGATTTCTCAAAATTATATTTAAATCCCGAGAATAAAGAATTCCGGCTCTAAAATTTTAATCCCGCGAGATAAAGTCATAAGAAATTTTCAAATAAAAATATATAAGAATCCCGAGATTATAAAGACTAGGAGCCCGCACAGAAAAAATAGAGATTCTATTTAAATAGATATATGGCTAATTTATCGATTAATCTCATATAAAGAATTAAATATCCCCAAGAAATCAATAAATCAAATAATCAAATAATATAGATAGATGGGAATAGATAAGAAACAGACCACGAATTAGCTAGATAAAGAAATAAATAAATAGATAGAAAGATATGAAGATGGATAGATAGATGCAAAGACGATCAGATAGACATACGATTCTGGGCGTCTCTCTGGGGCCTATTTCTATTTCTATTTAGAGATCTATAGATTTCTGTCTATAATTATCTGAGCAATTATTTGTATATCTATCTATATATCTATTTATAAATCTCTCTATATATCTATCTCAATATATATTTAAATATTTCTCTGCGCCTCTTTCCGAGCGTCTCTCTATGCGTTTCTCTTTGCCTGTCAATATATGATTTTGGAAATCTATCTATATATCTATTCGGGTATCTCCCTATTTATTTCTCTATCTATCTCTCTGGATGTCTGTCTGCGTGTCTCTCCGTGGGTCGGATGAGTCTGTCTGCGAGTCTAGGATTCTTCTTAAATCTATCTAGATATTTCTTTAAGAAATTATTTGGAGAATCTATCTATGATATAGAGACCTCTAAATGATATTTTTTATATCTATTAATATATTTCTTTATATATCTGTCTGTATATCTATCGATAAAAGTCTCTATATATCTATCTAATTATTTCTAATATAAGATAAGAAGATTTTTTTCGAGATTTAGAATCGAAATATCTTTATAAATATTCGAAGCATCTTATAATTTTCCGATAAAATATTCTAAATTTATTATCAGAATTCTATTAAATTGAGAATTTTAAGAAAATTATATGAAATATAATTAAGATAAAGAAGAATATTAAAATCAAGATTAGTTAATTCGAATCAGAATCTTCAGAATATTTCAAGAATAAGAATCTTAAAATTAAATATATATAATAAGAAAAATAATCGCTCTTATATTTATATTCATAAATCAGATCTCTTCTTATATCAAATTATTTTTCTATATCTCAATCTTATCTATCGATTTATAAAAAAATTAATTATTTAGAGGCCTATAATGAAATAATGATACCGAATATATATATATATCTAGATTATCTTCGCAATTCGAATCCATAGATAATATTCACGACTTTAAATAAAATTCAATCTAATTATCTTGCTCCGCTGGTGGAAGCAATAGAGCCATGCTAATCTTTCTTTATATCGAATTTGCTTGATTAATTAATTTCAGTTTTAGATTTGAGAATCTAAATTAAGTAGCTAGATAGAATCATAAATATGTATATATATATATTCATTTTCTTAATTTAAATCTCTACTTTATTAGATAATTTAAAACTCTTTTATACGACAATCAATATTTAATTATTTCAAGAAGATATAACTTATTTTAATAATATAGAATATATATTCTTATTAATATGAGATTTTCTGAGATAATTAGTTTAAATATATTTAAATCTAATATCGAAGAAAGAAAAATTTAAATAGATTAAAGGAGAAGCTCTAAATATATGAAAAATTTTTTCGAAGAATAATAATAAGAATAGAAGATTATTTATATAGAATCATGATTTATTATATATAGATATATATATTCATAAAATTTTTATATATTATCATGATAAAATTTAAATATTAATCTTGCGTCTTTATGAAAGAGAGCATATAAAATCTAAATTCTAATCATATATTATTATGAGGGTATTTCTTATTTCTATATATTACTATTTTAATTATTTTCTTATATTTTCTAAATATTCCTGATATATCATATTTCGAGATGAAGGAAAATTTTCAATATATATATTATAATAATATCTCAGGATGTCTATTTATTGCGCAAATTATAAGAAGTTGATTAGCTAATATTATGACGAATCCCAATTGGCCAAGGGATCATAGATTCTTTTCATTCGTGTTGTGCGGTCAATGGCATTTAAATGTTCGTTCGCAGCGTAAGATATCGAGATTAACGCATCTTATGCTAGCGGCTTGAAGCAGTAATCTTAGTGTTCGAGGCATTCACAGTGTCGAGGACTACCCATCTTGTGGGCACGTTGACTCAGAAAGCCTGCAGCCTAACCTTGATGTTACTAGCTGTTGAACAACTGTTCTGTAACTTCTACTGCATTCTGGACGCGACACGAGGCAACGGTTCTCTTGATGTGGCTCGTCTTTCGGTATCCAAAGACGTAACCATCACCGAACTGTTCTGTGGCTGCGAGCTACAGCAGCTAGGATAGATCTAGTGAGTGGCCAGCAATCCCAAGTAGAGCGATTGAAACAAAGCCCTCAACAACAGAACCTGTATATACATACATACGTACATACATACATACATACATACATACATACATATGCACACGTACATACATACCGACAGACCTGCATAAACGCGCTGTCTGCCTGCCTGCCTGCCTGCCTGCCTACATGCGACATACATGAACATGCTTCGAACCTTGTGTACATAGGTGACATAAGTGATAGGAATATTGAATTCTAAATGCATGCCTCACAAACACTCGGATTACCCGTAACGGTATGGCGCTCGCTTGGGTTATCTTGCACGGACCACGAGCTCCACGAAGAAACCCTTGTCAGGGTATCTGTCCCGGCACATGGCATCGCCGGCCACCAGGCAGAGCAGCAAACTGAACGCAACCTGTGAGGATGATCGATCTGGCTCAAGATTTAAAAGCGTCGCTCATACGGTGCATGTGTACCCATAGGCCCCATAGTAGTTCCTTTTGGGGATTCCCTAATCGAATCCTACATATAAGCCGCAAAAAAGGACTACTATGGGGCCTATGGGTAAGTTCACCCTAAACCTTCACCCTGAGACCCAAGACACGGATACCCCAAGTCATCTACACGCTTCCAATATTACACCTGACAGCTGAGCGGCTTCTGAGCAGATCTTCCGGGTGTTGGGACAGGTTCCGTAGGGTTTAGAGGTTTGGGGCTTATCACTTCACAGGGCTCGGGGATCTAG